CTAACGGAAGTGGAGGGTTCACAAGGGAGGCAGCAGGGGATGGGACAGCCGGTGGCATAAAAGCAATATCACGAGAAAGGCAGGCATCACCCTTCCCTGGATGCTTCCAGATGCAGAGTGCCAGAGACCCCTCAAGGTTAGGGAAGTCGCCACAAAATCAGCTGTATTACCTTCTCAAAAAATGACATCAGGACCCCTTGGGAGATTCTGAACCCAGGCGATTCCACTGAACTTGGAATCCCGGGTTAGGGGTGCAAACAACCCACAATCTCATGAATCACTGAGCACCCCCTACCACCTGAAACTCTAATGCCTGGTCCTACAGCAAACCAGGAGATTGATGGAAAAAGAAAAGGAGAAACAGTTGACAAAGAACCAGTTGACAATGCAGATAATAAACAAGGGTCATTAGGGGAAAAGACAGAAATTTGCCCCAGAGCGACTTTGCCTGAACCGTCCAGTGGAAGGAAAACCTCCGGATCTTCACCAATGCTTACAATCCCTAAGGAGAGCTCCTTTGCTCCAAGTCCTAGTTTACAGCATCCCTGCGAAGGCCAATGCTGACGTCTTCCTGCGAATCAGTGTGGAAGTTTTTATCATGAAATTCAGAAACAATCAGCCCACTTGTCTGCATCTTCCCAGAGCCACACACCCCCTCTTCCACATGGGGGCTCCTCAGGAGACAGGGCGCAGGGCAGCCCATGACCCGCATGGGTGGGACCCAGACTTTCAGGTCTGAAATCTGTCTGGACTAAGTCCAGAAAGATAACTCCAAGTCATTTCAACCCAATGACTGTCTGGTGATCAAGGTGAGGCAACAGTAAGTTCATGGTCCTTCCAAATGCTTCCAGCCTGCCTCTGCCAGCACTGTCCTGACCCTGCGGATGGGACACTGCTGGCAGCGCTGCCCAAGACAGGAAAGGCTGAGCTGACATATGTCCTCCCCCTTTCAAATTTCATGAATGTATAGAATGTTAGAACAGGCAGGTCTTTAGCGACCACCAATCCACTCCTTTCCGTTTCACCAGATAAGGAAATTGAGACCCAGAGAGGGTCATACTCGCCCCAGGTTACACAGCTGGGTGTCACAGGCGGTCTCCATCGCTGCCTCGGACTCCCAGCCTCGGTGCTTTCCCGAGGTCACACTGACATCTCACCGCCTCCTGCAACCTGGATAGCCTGCTAAAGCTGCCACCCTTTGTCTATTTTCCATTTGTTATAGACAGAACCACCGGCATTTTCTGGCACTTACTGTCTGCCAGGCTTCCAGAAGGGCTCTCTGTACATTAATTCAGTGACTCCTCACAAGGACCGGAGGGGGCAGGTCACAATGGTAAACCTCAGGTAGAGAGAGGCACTCAGAGCCAGGGCTCCCAGCGAGACAGTCCGGCTCCAGAGTCCCCACTCTTAACCAGCCTGTTAGAGTTCAGGAAAGATAATTCCTTTGAGTTATAAGCGACAGAAGAGCAAGAGCAAGCCTTCAGCACAGGGGCATGGCCGCTAGTGTCCAATGATGAATTTAAGAGCTCAACCATAAATTTCATTGATATGTGCAACATCTTCACCATCTGTTGATTAAGTCAAGAGGATGTATTTATGAAGGAAATAAGGCATATTAACATTTAAAACATTTTTTAAAGGGCAAAATGCTCATGCGCCCACCAGTCAAAGCCTGCCCCTGGAAACAGGGAGGACGTACGTGAGGGCGGGGCTGAGGAGGGTCTCTTCCAGACGCGCTGGTGAAGCCAGTGAAGGCGTCGCTGCCCACCTCCACCTGTGCTGGCCCCACTCGCGGGTACAAGAGGGGCTCTTCTGCTATTGGAGAAACATTACTTTTACAGTAACTTTCCACAGAAATCAAACCTCAAATTAATAAATTTAGGAAGAGATTAAGAGAAAACACCTCTGAAAATGAATAAAAACACATTTTTGATGTGTTCGAAACCAAGAGCACCAGAACAAACACCCAATATTCGATTATTTTTTCACTTTCCCTCATATTAAAAATGTCAGATCTCATTATCTTGGTTATTCAGGAGAAGAAGTCCAGGAGCAATGATGGTAGAAATAAGTTACAATTGTGCCTAAGATCAAATTTCAAGAGAAAAATCGCAGTCAACCGAGAAGATCCACCGTCAAAGCTCCGTGACTTATTTACCAGCCAGATGTCTCAGCCTCGAGGGTGCAGAAGCCCACTGTGCAAACGCAACAAAACGTAAAAACTCTAAAGCCAGAAAGAGAATGCCTTAGACACGAAATCCACAGTCCAGAGAAGTAAAGCAAAGACCAGCGCCAGGCACATGGGAGGCCCCCAACAGATATGTGTTCAGTGACCATAAAGGAAGAAAATATGGAGAGGAGCATGAGAGAGGCTGTCAAAACAGGGGAACAGAAGAATGACGCTGCTCTGAGCTTTTGAGCACTTTTTAATACCAGAACAACAACAAAAGAATGAAGGATTAGAGAGGCTGGAAAGTGACAGAGTCTCACCCAATCGGGGCAAAATGCTCCGTGGTATAGGACCTGACCCGCACTGCTTAAGCAAGAAAATATCTCTAAGTCCAGCTTTGTCCAGGTAAGGGATCTGGACTCAAGCCCTACAGGGTGGCATAATGTTTACAGTACAACTCTAACAGGGCAAAATTCCCTGAATTTGGTGCATCTCAAATACAACACTTTTTAATTTAGAACTCTCAATAGGAGTTCCCCAGCTTAACCCACCACTTCATAACAAACCTTATTTAAAGTCACAGGGAAAAAATATCCCATAGCTTCTCTGTTCCACTAAAGCAACATAAATACAAATGCAATTAGACAAGACCTACATAAACCAGATCTCTCATATCTGATCAGTAAATTAAAGTCTAATAAAATTACAGTCAGCCTAGGGGTTTGAAAGCAATCTGGGCTCTGTGCAGTACCATCCTAGCCAGGCCCCAAGCATAAAGCATTTTCCAACATTTATATCATTAATCTTTTTTCTGGGGAGTCAGCACTTGGTCAAAAACTCTGACAGGACTTGAAGTGAGAGCTTAAGTACCAAAATAGTGGTTGCCAATTTTGTATAGAACACTCAATATAAAAGTAGTATTATATCCCACTATTTGTTAATACTTGCTTAGAACATTTCCTTTTCTCACATGGCATGTATTAAAGGAGGTCATGTATCAGAGCTCACCTGAAATTCCTGCCCAATTTAAGTTTTAGCCGCAAGAGTAGTTTCTTATAAGAGCACAAGAGAATATTTCAGATTCTTCTACAGTATTCATGTGATTTTAAAAAGGTGTGAAACTCAACTGTGGCCTCTGATAAAATAACACAGAGCCTTAGTTACCAACTGCCATTTTCCTCTTTCCCCTTAAGTGTTTCTAAACTGCTTAAAGGGCAGGACAGGTGCTTCAAAGGCAAGCCTAACGACACACCTGTTACATAACCTGTTCTTGGCCGGCCAGGTTCTGTGGTTTTGATAAGGAAGAAAACACAGTCAAAAGCAGGACAGACACGGATTCTCTGTTCTCAGTTCTCCCATTAGCCAGGGCATTCATCTGAGTCACACACCCAATAGCTGGCTCTGTGCCTCAGTTTCCCCAACTACAAACTATGAGGTCTGAAGATATCCAAATTCCTATTTGACCAAAGTTCATGACCACAATAATCACATAGAAAACCCACATCAGAACATTACATTGAAATACTAAGTTGTATTAAAAAATTCTGAAGGCTTTTGCAGTATTCATTTCTTTTTCTGTAAATACTCCAAAGGGGTTAGCTTGGCCATCAAGCAAGATTAGGCAGATACTCGTGTGCCTGAAGAACGTGTCTATAAAAACCCAGGACAGACATACAGAAACCTCCCCGGTGACATTATTATCACTCTGCTTGGATTTTCCTGTGCGAAGAGCAACCTGCAGAACCAACAAGGACAGGTCTTTGATTTCGTTTTTGTGAAAATGGGACTGTGCTTCCCCCGACAGCTTCAGGGCCTAGGAACACAAGACGACAAAGCTTCAGAAAACCCGGGACCCCAAAGGATGGATTCTTTCCAAACGTTTTTCACTTTTCTTACCCAAGCGGCGCGGCCTGGTGGTACACCTCCATGACCCTGGGCTTGCGGAGATTTGGGGAGACCCAGGCAGGGGTCAGAGAGGGAGAAGGTGCACACACAGATGTCGCTGCCTTTCCTCCACCCACCCGGCAGTAACCAATAGAGGGGACGCCTGGCCTCCTAGGCAGGGAGATGGATTCTCTCCTGAAAATCTAACTGGTGTCCGGGAAACCGGAGCTGGGTTTCCAAGGCGGCCTGAGCGCCCAGCTCCCACACAGCCCTCCACAGGTGAGGATGGCGTCTCGGCCCAGCGCAGGCATCCTTATCACACGTGGGAACTCCAAACACAGGAAGGTTGGGGTACCATCACCCACACCCCCGCTTTCAAGGAGCAAACAAAGCCAAAAAATAAGCATAAGGAATTCCGACAGAATTTTGACCGCCAACCGAGATATCTATAGATGCCTTTCGAAATACAGCAAATGTTTGCGCACGAAAGAAACATTAGCGCTCCCGTCCAGAGCTCGCGCTTGGTCTGCTCTCCAGGGACCCGGCCGCGCCACGCACCCTCACCCCGGAGCCGAGGCACCGACGGGGAGCGGAGACCTCAGTTCTGCAGGCTCTCCCTTCTCCCCGCAAGAGCGCCGCGGTGGGAGGGTGCTTCCACGCGCCCATCCCGGGTCGCCGGAGCGGCGGCCGCCGCCTCCTCGGTGCGCCCCGCAGCTGCCGCCGCGCCAGGCAGCGCAGCCGCGTGCACTTGTTGCCGTCCCCGGGGAGCGGGAGGGGCGCCCTCCCTCTCGCCGCCGGGCCCGCACGGCACCCTCTCCAGCTCTGCGGGCCGCGCGGCCCCGGGACCAGCGAGAGGAGCTCAGCGAGCGCGCACCCCGGGAGGCAGCCGCACTGTCCCCCCCGGGCTGCGGGGCGACGCGGGCGCAGAGCCCCCGAGAGCACTCACCTGCGGCCGTGGCCCCGCAGCCTCCAGCCCAGCGAGGCGCGGCCCCCCTGCCCGGCCGCCCGGAGCCGGGACGGCTTTCCCGCAGCTGCCAACGCCCGGCGGGCGGGCGGGGCGGCGCTCGGGCCCCAGGGCTGCGCCGCGGCGGGGCCGCCCTCCTGCGCGCCTGCCGGCTGCCGCTGGCTCCGCGCCGGCCCCTCCCGGCCGCATCACATGGCCCGCCCGCCGGCGGCTCCGGGAGGAAACCCGAGGCGCCCGCCCCTCGCTCCCCTCCCTCCGCGGGCGGCCGGCTCGCCCCAACTCCCGGCACCGGGCGCCGGGCCCCGGAGGAGGCCGGGTTGCGCCCCAGGGCCCGCGGCCTCGCTCGGGCGCCGCCCGAGGAAGGGGCTGTGCGGGGCTCGGGGGAGGCCCAGGCTGTCCTCCTCCCAAAGCCGCCCCACCTGCGACCTAACAGGGCCCCGTGTGCCTGACAAGGCGGCAGACGCCCTGTCCTTCCGAGGCCGAGCGCCTGGCCCGGAGCCTCGAGCCGCGCTCCGCCGCAGGTGGCTCCCTGGAAGGCAGCGTCGTTCACAGGTTGGAGTGCAAACAACCTGTTCGCGCCCCAAACCTGCGAGAGCGGCTCTCTTCCACCCGCCGCGCTTGTCCAGTTAGCGCGGACCACGGCCCCAAGCCGAGAAGCCTCTCCCTCGCCCAGACCTTCAGAAAACACACTCCAGACCCTGGCAGCAGCTTTAACAGCCAAATTACCGATTTGACTTTTCTTGCAATTACCCTGAGTCTCCGCTTTGTCTTTCCTGCGAAGACCTGCCACCCCAAAACCAGGACAGGGGTGTAGCCCGAGCGCCAGAAAGGAGCGCGCCTCCCCAGCAGCTGTCCCCATCACCTCTCCGGCCCTGGCCGCTTCCACCTCCCTTCCCGTCCTCACTTTGCCCACTCCACCTTGCTGATGGAGCTCCTGAGGCTGGACCAAAGAAGAGAGCAAGAAACCGCCGTCCTGGGGCTGAAGTCCTCAGCTCTGTTCCAAGGCGAAGGTCCGCGTTCTGCCTTAATAACGGGGCCCCAAATTGGCACTGAACCCTGACCCATGCTGCGACCCCAGCTTCCGCCACTGCACACAGCTGGGAACCCAAGGCCTGGCCTCAGGCACGGTCATTTAAAGAAAAAAAGTCCCTGCCCATTGCCAGGACTTCAAGGTACTCAAAATAAAAATAAAAACAATAATATTCTCAAAAATGAAAAATAGTTCCAACCCTAAAATGTCTACTGGAGATCCACTGGATCAACACACCAGACAAAAATGGTTTCCAAACTCTGATGAGCAAAACCCTTGATGCGTTAGCCGCCTTTGTTGTTACTCTCCTTTTCCACATCACTAGGATTGAGTCTCTGTGTATTTTATTTTCTTCCTGCCCACACCTTTTTCTTCATTAATTCTGTCAGATATGTAGATAGAAAAAAATAAGAAAACGGGAGAGGTGGAACAAGTATTGTAAGAAGTTACCCCAAGACAAAACAGACGAGCAGAACCCGTGGCTGTGGACCCTCACCAGCCAGGGATCAAACCATGCTGTCTGCAGCTTTCCCGCTTGCTCGCAAGCACTGTGCTTGACCAATGTTTAAATAAGTAAGAGGCTTTCAACTTCTCTAGGTTCTGATTTTAAGCAAAGTGTACTCGAGCAGCCTTCAAAGAAGCCTGAGTGTCTGAGGCAGGGAGTTCTTGGTTGTGTAAATAACCCTCAGGATCTGATTGATTTTGGTGCTCCAGATAGAGGTCACTCGGGACACTGAGATAGTGCTGAGCTTGGCTGGGACAGCGTAGATTTAGAAGTCAAAGACTACGCATTCTCAGTCCCCGGACAAGGACAGTCAGCCAGCAGGAAATCGGGTTCGTAATTCAGTTGGGAAAATTCTTACCTCCTGGTGAGTATTACGCCAGTGTCCCGGCTCGGCCGTCTTTTCTAGTTGTTTAGTCTGCATCCTTACAGACTTCACTGCAGACAGACCTCCTCCATAAATCCTGCCTTCGCCATCCTGGTCCCCGCCAGCCTCTGGACTTTGACAAAGCTGAAACCTCTTACCGTACAATCTAGCACCTGATTATATTCGCTGTCACATGCTGGACCTTACAGGTCCTTATCCTCTTTTCAACTTGTCATTTCAAGGACAAAGACTGTTACCCAAGTAATTTCACAGGCCTTACACAGGGCGCCTCTGGAGTATGTGATGTTGGTAGAGACCCCAGCTCTGGAGTATTTAGTATTTGTTTTTTAAGTGAGGTATCACGTCAGTTACGCAGGAATGAAAATGTATATCAATTTTCTAACTTTTCTTGAATGGATTATAACTGCTCCGAATTCTATTATCTGCCTAATTCTTTCCTGCTCTTCATTCTATTTCCTTTGCCAATAATTCTCAAAGATTGAATAATTATGAATCTAATGTTTGGCCGTCTGAGTTAGGAAATTACCAGTGTTTCCTAAATAAAAGCATGATTCTAGAAGATGATAGACTTAGGTGGGGCCGGGGTGGGGGGGTGGGGATGGGGGACAAGTTTCAGAATTAGGAATAGGATGACCTTGGGAAGATTCAACCTTCTAAGCCTGCATTTCCCCATCTGTAAAATGGACATAAGAATAGTATCTACTGTCATTAAGAGGATTGAATGACTGAAGGGGATTATGGGACACATTAATCCCCTTCCTCTAAGGATGAAGGAAATTGTGGCAATTAATATTTCAGAGTATGGATATATTAGAACACTTCAGAGCTTTGAGATAATTAATAGAGCGTGTCAGACTCCAAGGTGAGAAACTCGGAGGATTGTACCCTTGGCTGCTCAGGCTGAGAAGGTCAAGGAACAGAGAGAAAAGAGGCCAGCATGATGGAAACCAGGGCACAAATCTTGTGGGAAAATGCCCACAGTTCTCATTCTGTCTGCACATTAGTATCACCTGCGAAGCTTTAAAAAGAAAACAACAGGGGCCGGCCAAGTGATGTGGTGGTTAAGTTTGCAGGCTCCACTGTGGTGGCCTGGGGTTCCTGATTTCAGATCCCGGGCACGCACCTACACACCACGCATCAAGCCATGCTGTGGCAGTGTCCCACATACAAAATAGAGGAAGATTGGCAACAGATGTTAGCTCAGGGCCAATCTTCCTCACCAAAACAAACAAACAAAATACCCAACAGCCTTGCTGCCCACAATCCCACCCCAGACCAATTATTTCAGAATCTCCTGGGGATGGGATTTTTTTTTTAAAGCTCTCCCAGGCGATTCCAATGGTCTGACAAAGTTGGGAACTAAAATTATTGCTCCTGGAGAAGCACAAGAGACAGCCCTCAATTATCTGAGGTCAAGGGATCCACTTCTACTAGTGATGAACAATCCTATTTAAATTTCGGGCCAACGTGCTTCAGTGTCCTGTGCGTGTGAATCACCTGGAGAGGCATCAAAATGCAAATTCTGACTCAGTGTCCAGTGGAGGCTGATGCTCCGCATGCCTAAGGAGTTCCAGGTGGTGCCAGTGCTGCCCGTCTGTGGACCACGCTCTGAGATGCAAAATAAGAGAGATCGGAAACAGACATTAGGAGCAGAAAGTAGAGAAATATTCATATTGCTACAAAAGAAGTCTTGACACCCTTGAATATTTTTAGTCAATATTTATTGTGCACCAGCTATGCACAAAATGTATTTTGCAATCTTTTAAGAAAAGAATAGGCCATTTGCAGCCAGTTTTAAGGGTGAGGTCTTCCCTAAGGAAAGGCACAGCCTGTCAAATAAGCTGGCTTCTCCTCTAGACACCGCAGACTGAGAGCCTGGGGCCCACAGTGCTTTCAGGGGCCAAGGAAATGTTTTAATTTCTCTTAAAATTAGAAGAAAAGAGATGAACTTTAGGCCAAAGAAAACGTTTCAATAGGTAACATTAGGATATTTGTCTTTCTAACCACGGAGTAGTATAATGTAATTATTATTTTTTTATTTTTTTATGGAGGAAGGGACCCATAAGGCGAAAGTGCCAAGGGTCCACAAAATTCATAACGTGGCTGTGTGCTCAGGTTCCGTTTCAGTCCCGGGTATTTTTCAGAAAGCACATGAAGCCTATTGTGGCTGGTATTTGCATATTGATACTCACATGAATAACAGGAAGATATTTGGGAAGACATGAATTGCCTCTTGAGCGGAGCCGGCGGTATAGAGTTCAGCACTGCCCACGTGCGTGATCTGAGGAACCCTGGGAATGCTCCGTTGACAAACAGTCATTCTTCTTCAGCTTATTCCTGAGGCCCTAAAATCCTGCCATTAGAAATTTATTCCCCCTCCAGAGCCAGTCTTTAGAGATTCATACCATCTAGAGACCCTTCTTTGTATTTCTTTTTGAATAAAGAGGCTCGGAATGCAAGGCCAGTTTGGGAAGTATGTAGACTGTAGCTCAGGCATATTTTCTGGTTCCTATTTCTCAGCTGATCCACAGCTACACAGATGATCTGTTACTCTGCTCTTTTCTAAACCTCCCAAACCAAGCTTTCTAGGAAAGCAATTTTTGTTGCTATTCCCCTGACCTTCAAGAAAGCCTGACCATTTTGATTTGTGAAGGGTCAATAAAATCCTATTCTTGATCCACTCAAGGAACAGCCGAGGTTTTCCCCAGGATCTGAAACAGTATTTATCTCAGAAAGTGATTGCTTATTTGCATCACTGATTTGTTTGGGTTTTTTCCTTGCCAAGATGGCTCCAGTTGTCCTCAACTTATGGTTCATTTAGATTTTAAACCAACTCTAAGGATCCTTTTTGATCTCTAGGGCACAACTGTATAAGGCAGGGCATCTGGATAATGCCCCAAATTCATGTGTCTAGAAACCTCCCATCAACCAGCAATTTTATCTCCAAGAGCACGGCAGAGTGCTCAGGTGTGGGGTGTGGGGCAGAACAACTCACTAGCCTTTCTCCAGTCTGCGAACACCTGCTGAGCCCTCCGTGAAGGTCTTATATACCAGCCCGGGCAGGTTTTCAGAGTTACACAATAAAAAGACCTTAAGAAAAACAGAGCTGATAATTGAGATATGAACATCATTTTAATTAGGGAGAAACAACCCATCACTGGTATTACAGGTGGCAGATACTATGTGTGCAACTGTCACATGAGTGTAATTATGTTTAAGACTTCTGGTGACATGGATGGTGAGGAGGGAGCCTCAGTGCTCTGCAC